AAAAAAAAAAAAAAAAAAAAAAAAAATACAAAAATCAGCTGGGTGTGGTGGCGCACACCTGTAGTCTCAACTACTACTTGGGAGGCTGAGGCAGGAGAACCCCTTGAATCCAGGAGGCGGAGGTTGCAGTGACAGGAGATCACGCCACTGCACTCCAACCTGGTGACAGAGCAAGACTCCATCTTAAAAAAGAAAAAAAATCAGAAAAGTTTTCATAACAAAGCTTATAGGTTATTTTTTAATCAAAAGAATAAATATATTGAAATATTCATGGTGTCTCTATTTAAAATTGCTAAAGGAATGCCTGAATTGAATCTAGATAACATGAAATATATAAAATGAAGTTTCTCAGGAAAATAAAAATTTTAGCATGCTATCCAGATATTAGTCAAGTACACAGAATTTCAAAACATAAATTCATACTCCTTTCATATTCCAGTCTTTCCTAAGCCAAAAAACAATTGTAGACTCTTATATCTAAGCCATTTATACTGTCGATTTGGATTAAATTCCATTGTGTACTCTACATTGCACTCTTATGGGAGGAACTAACCTGCCACTACTCACTAAAACATGAATCTCCACATCTTAAAGGTTATATACAGTTTAACATCTCAGTATTAAAATTTAAAAATAATATCAATTATTTTCCCATTTTAAAAAATTTTTAGTTTGGCTGTATTCATATTGTCCAGAAAGTAAATCTTTGTTAAGTAGTAAGTGTCCATTTACAAAGGCCATTGAGAGGGACTGAAAGAAAAAACCCTAAAAGTTTACACTTTAAAATGTACTTTTAAATGCACTTTTAAAATGTAACATGTTCTAATATCTTAGTCTGCGTGTATTTAATACTGTGTGCCCAGTATTTTTCTGTGTACTTTGAGGAGTACGAGTGCATATATACAAACACACACAGAGAATACAGAAAATTAATCCATATAAAACAACAACTATAGAACAAAGGATTATCAATTCTGGAATGGCAAACTTTTAGAAATGGAGAATAGATTAGTGGTTGCCCAGAGTTAGGGATAGAAGGTGTGTGTGGCTATAAAAGGGCAACGGAGAGGATCCTTGAGATGATCAAAGTGTTCTGTATCTTGACTGTGCTGGTGGTGGATACACACAGAATAAAATTCTATAGGACAAAACACACACACACAATTAAAATGAGGAAACCTAAATAAGATCAAGGAATTTTTATCAATGTCAACATCCTCCCTGTGATATTGGGCTATAGTTTTGAAGGATGTTACCTTGGGGGAAACTCAGTAAAGGGTACACAGGATCTCCCGGTTTTATTCCTTACAGATGCATGTGAATCTACAATTATCTAAAACTAAAATGCTTTTAGAAGATTATAAAATACTTTATTGTAAATACATTCCCCCCTAATAAAAACACACAAGGAACAAATGCCTAAAATCCTAGTGACAAAAAGAAATATCACATAGGTGCAGTAGTAGTTCCCCTCAAAGAAACCCAGAGAAATGATTACACCTATGTATTCTTGCTGTCAATGTTCTTAAATTTTTTAAATTATTTGTTAAATTAGTTTTAAAGATCACATCCTATAAACTGAAGATTTCTCATGACACAGTAGTGATACAATGCTACCTTACAGTTTAGATGGTGGTAGAATCACCCAAAATAATAATAATTTTAAAAAAGGACCATCTTTCTCTCACCAGTTTCTGTTAAGAGATAAGAAGATCTCTCTCCCTCTCTCCCTTCTCACATCCGAAAGAGTTGGTACTGAGGAGTAGAATGAATGCGCCACAAGGATTTCGAAAAGTCTGGTCTTTATCTACTTTGAATTTCTTGGAAAAGATTCAAGCATATCATTCCTTTATCACTAAAGCAAGATTAGAAATCACGTGTAAACCACTGGAATTCCTTTGCTGTGAGGAAGTCGAAGGTGATCAAAGGCAGGGTGACACGCAAAATGGCACTTGGATAAAATGGGTCTCATTAGGGTGGAGTCCAATTCACGTAAAATGACTTCCAGGCAATTCCTAGGGCCTTGACTTTCAACCCGACACTTGCCTGTGTGCAATGAAGATGGAAATAGAAACACCGTGCCCCTCCCACACCCATCTGGAAGCTTCAGCCTCTCGGCCTGACCCCCAAAGACCCGCTGAAAAGAATGGATACTTTTGCGAACTCGCGTCCCCACCCCGCGGCTCCCCAAGAGCTCCACTGGTAGGGGAGCGGGGCCGAGGCGCCGGGGACTCCGGCGCGGGGCGAGGCCGGTGACAAGGGGCGACGCGGATTCAAGCTGCGGACTCACCCGCGTTCTGCAGCGTCTCGATGTTTTGGGGTCTGGTCGCCAGCTCCGCCACCATCTGCACGAACTGGGTCCGGGCCTTCTGGTATTGCTCGAACACTGCGGGGGAGAGAGTCGGTGGAGTGGCCCGCGGCGCCTAGTTCACCTCGTAGCCAGCCCGTCGGGGCGCCCGCCAGCCCCGGCCCTACCTTGCAGAACCTGCCTCTGACTCATGGCGCCTCCGCCGCCGTCCGCCCTCCTCAAGCTCTGCGAGGAAGCGACTCGGCCTGCAAGTCGCCGAGGGGACGACCGCGACGACCACTCGGCCTCCGACGGGAGCCGCTCCTCTGTGTACCCGCGTCTCCCGGGCAACCGACCGGAACCGGAACGCGGCCGTCTCGCGGCAACGGCCAGTGCCGGGCGTGACGTCACGGTCGCGGTGTCCGGGCGCCCAGCGCGGGGCAGCGGTGCGAAGGCTCCCGAGCCCCGGGACTCGGCCTGCAGGGGGTCCCGGCGCGCCAGGCTCGCTGAGCCGCGGGGACATCGCGCGCCGTCGAGTGTACCTGCACCGCCTGGAGGTCGGGGCTCTTTACGAAGAGATCGCCGTGGTGTCCTGACTGCGGCGCGGGTCGGGACCGAGCGCCGGCAGAGCTCCACGCGCAAAGGGAGCCTGGTTCAAGCGCGGCCAGACGAGTCAACTGCAGCCCTGGAGTTGTCCGAGCTTCGAGGGTCCTGAAAATCTCACACGTGACATTGTACAATCTGATGAACACATTAATGTCAGAGCAACTTGAGTGTTGCCTTGGCATTTAACACTGCATTGACAGTAAAACACTGACTTTAGAATCCGTGTTTTCCTTTATAACCCAACGGTTATACACCTGGCATTCTTGGTTTCAAGATTCCTGGAGGATCATGACAACCATGTTCTTACAGTTAATTATACTGTATGGAAGAATTTAATGAGTACTCAGAGACTCAATAAGGAAAGCAGATGAGCAAAGGATGTGATAAATGTCCTGTCTTCCCTGGCTTTCTCCTAATGACTCCTAATTTTGCTGTTTCCTCGCTTTTATGTGATTTGTAAACATTTTGTCTTAGTCTTTTAAATGTAGGCTTCCTTATGTTGATGAATGACCCCTCCAACAGATAAGGAGAGAGAACATTTACCTGGAAAACCAGACTTCCCTATCTTATATAACTTGAACCTTTTACCCAGTTTCTTTTAACAAATTTGAAGTCGTCTATCACTGATTTCTAACCTGTCTTTGAAAACTATTTACCAGTTGTTTCAATGACAGTTGTCAACTTTAAATGTTCCTCCATCAAATCTACAATTTCATGAGATGTCAAGTGGATACACAGCCACAGCTGCTGCCAAGACAGGAAACCCCTTGGTACTTCTTCGACAGAAGAGAGCATGCAAACTTAGCTGGATCTATAGTTGGAATGAGTCCTCTATAATAATCTCTGAGGTCTCACCCTGACCTGAGCTCTCTGATGAAGTCCTAATATTTTGTGGAGCTCCAAATGGACCAGCAATCAGAGAGAATGGACCAGCAATCAGGGAGAAGAATAAGTGTGTTTATCGGGGTCTCTAATAACCCCGGGGAGCAAGTACATGTCTTCTGCTTCTGCAGTTCAGAAGCCAATGATGGCCACAATCCTTTTACTTCACTCAAAGTCATAAGTTTTACAGTGATATCTATATTTCCCTAAGGGAATACATCGTTTAAAATTACAGTTGTTGTGTGTTCCCATTTAGAGACGTGGGAGGAAACAGATTGAGTAAATAATTAAGATTGCAAATAAGCCTTATAATTTTCAGTTCCTTGTTGAAAGATGAAAAAAAAAATCCCCTTAAAACTAAAAGGTTTTATATTTGGTTTCAGCCCTTAAACAAACAATTCAAACTCTCAAGCTACTACCACTGCCATTTTTAGCAACTGGTTTACTATTTGTTTTCTAAAGTGTTAAGAGCTCAATGTGGGGAGGGAGGCGGTGGGGGGGGGGAGGTCTAAGCCTATAAACATAACACAGTATGGGATGCTACAAAGTTCTCGGAAAACATATGTTGAAAAGCTGTGTAAATTAGAATCCAAGTATCTGTTATTAATAATCTGTTATAATTAATAATCCAAGTATCTGTTATTTAAGTTAATTTGTATTGTTCCTGATAAAACATAATGTAGGATGCCTACTTCATATCTGAAATTGGACATATTAAAGAAGCTAGATCTTTGTTCTTTATTCTAGCTTCCTTTTAAAAAATCTTAAAAACTAAATGGAGAAATGTGTGTAATGCAGAGTGATTATAATATATATATAAGTGAAATATCAGTAATTCAAGCATAAAATATGGCAGATTACTTTTACTGACAAGAAAACCAATCTGTATTTTCTAACCCATTTTTTCAATGTACTAACTCTAAAACAAAATACTATTGTTTTCTAAAGTTAAATGAATGTCCCATGATCACATACACACCTCTAAACTAACAGTTAAGCAATGAAAAAGAAAACAATTTAAAGGGATACTTCAGTATTTTAAAAATATTACAGGAAGATTACCGTTGTTAAAATACCAGCTTACTTTGAAGATATACAATGTAACTGAAACATAAAACTATACATTTTATTGAGAATGAAACATTAGTAGAACAATTTGCAAAAAAGTGTTTCCATGAGAGGCTTGTTTGGAAGCCTTTGGCTACTTTTGTAAAAAGCTAATCATAATATATAACTTCAAAATAACTTTTTCAAATAATTCCTCCTTTAGTTATGAAAATGAGACTGAAAATGACAACAAAATAAAGACAGTTTTAAAATCCTTTTCTGTTTCTCTTTGTATATCTCCTTTGAGAATTCAGAAAATCCTATTATCAAGGGAATATATGCCATACATGCCTAAAAGAAGCTTTGTTAATTTTAACATCCATGTATTTTTTCTTCAGTTCCTACCTGAATTTTAAAATTTAAAGATTTATATATGCTAGATATTAACACCCATATTTTAACTGTCATTGAGATGAATCAAGTGTGTGTGTATATATATATATATATGTATATGTATATATTCTTCATCAAGCCAAACACGTGTTCATTATCAATGTGTGTCAAACACCTTGCTAATAAAAGAATGTGCCTTTCTTCCAAGACATGAAGTCTAGTAAGAGATAAACATCACTTCATTCTACCAGCATATACCGCAGACTGCATTCATTCAATGGGCATGTACTGCAGTCTGCCACTGTTTTAAGGGCTGTAATTGCTCAGTGCTTTAGTGTTTTGGGGGACAAACAGGAGGGGCTTATGGCAAAGTAGGCAAAGAAGTGAGAATACCTAAAACATCATTTAAATTATAAAAGGCTTCTTGTTTTTAATAAAAATTAGCTGAGTTCTATGCAGCTATGAAATCTCCCTCCCCTAAAATAATTTTTTCCCAAAAAACATTGTTAGCATTTAAGAAGGCATTCAACTGCTAATTGCATGTCATTACTGAAGTTATGAGACTACATTAATCATTTTGCAAACACTAAAATTACTAAAATAACTCCATAGTTTCATACTTGAATTAAAAATAGAGGCATTGCTTAGTCCATAACCAAGTTAGTGGAACATAAATATTACCTATAATGATGAAAGTAAACATGACTATCTTAAATGTTGCATCGCGCCTCTTTTGGGAAATAATGTCAGGATTTTATGTCTGAGCCGACCATCCAGTTGATTCATCAAGTTTGTCAGTAGAGCAGAAGACACTTGTACACTTACATCCGGGAAGGAAAGATTAACATTTCTATACATGTTTTGCATTTATGCCTTACTCCCTATTGTTGGCTTTTCAAACCCAAGTCAACTCTTTGCATTTTAAAGTTTTTCTTTTTAGTGTTAAGGTCGATGTCAAGGTGACAGTAGTTTAGCTGGCCCGAAATTCCTAAATATCTACCTGTATCTGTCTTCCTTTGCAGTAATTCAGAGGATGAAGAGATGGAACTAATCTTTTCCACTTCCCAAGAAACTGGTCATTAGGGGGATTCCACACAGGAATAATTTTGCTTCCCCAAAAGGCACCATGTAAAGTGATTGATATTAAAAATGGGTGCTTTCAATGTCTAAGTCCGAAATGCAGCGTGACATTTTCTAACGCAGCAGTGATGTGCATAAAAACAAATTATTGCAACTTAGTGTGTGTGATATATCTTCCGGTTAGACTTGCGGGCGTTTTCTTAAGTAATTAAAAACTGTACCTAAAGCCAACATCACGAGCTGGAAAACACTAAGCGCCCTACTCCAGATGCCAGTCAGCTGTGCCTCTCAATACCTCCCACCGCTTTAAAATGTTGGCGTTGCTGGGCTTGTGTCAGAGAAGGTCTGTACCATCCTCTCCGCCCTTTAATCAGGACAAGAGACAAAGACGGAAGGTGCGACAGAGGAAACGACCCTAAAGCCCACCAAGCCCGCATCTGGGCCACGCATCCCCCAGGTGCGGGTCCCACGAAGACTGCGCTGCGGCTGGCCCCCCGCCCCGAGCCGAAGCCGGACGCCGGCGGGTCCCCGAGCGGGTTGTGCACCGGGTTCGCGCTCCCCGGCGTTGGCAGGCAGCCGCGTCCAACGGACAGGAGTGTCTGGCCGAGGGCAAGGGAAGAAGGTGGTCCTCCCCGGCTTCCTCCGCGTTTTCCATTCTTCCCAAGTTTCTCCAACTCCGACTAGCAGCTCCTCCGTGACTGCGAAGTTTCTAACCCGGGAGGCAGCGCGGGAAGCAGGCCGGGAGCGAGGGCGGGGGCACCGTAGGCGTAGCGGGAGGAAGGGGCGGGGGCGCGCAACCCCAGGGCGAGAGTGCGGAAGAGCCTCGCGGGTCAGGCTGGGGTTTCCCTCCCGCGGGGCCTCCCAGGGCGCGGCAGCTGCGATGCGGCCGGTGGAGGGGGCAAGCCCGACTCTCCCGCTCCCTCCACGCCGTGGGCCGCCGGCCTGGGCTGGCTAGGGGAGGCGCGGCGGGCGACTGGCGAGGAAGGAGGCCTCTGTTCTTTCGCTTTGCTTCCTGGGCCGGGCCTCCCGCTGGAGTCGCACGGCCGCGCAGGGGCCAGGGCAAAGATCCCGGCCCAAGCCTCCCAGGGGCGCGACTGCCCCGCGGCCCAGAGAACTGTGCGGCCAACTCGCAGGGGCTGGCCCGGAGCCGCGGGGACCGGAACCCGGGCACCCAGGCCCCGCGGCGCTACCGCTGCCGGAAAACTCGCTGCGGCCGCGCGGGTCGGCCTACTTCGCCCCGGCTCTCTGCGCCCAGGACTTAGAAGAGCGCCCCGACCGGGTGGGGAGGGGCTTCAGGCTCTCTCCACTGAGAGTAGGGGACCGAACTCCGCACCATCTTACATTGGCCGACCCCCTAGGACCCCGCGGTGCAGGCAGGATCCCAGAGGCGGGGA